GTCACTGATCATTACATGGTGACTTGCATAATACGTACTGATGAAATATGTCATGTTGCACCACGTTATAGACCAGGCAGAACAATCCTTCCAACCACTATAGATGGATTTTCAAATAGCTTACCTGATCTATCTAAGCTGCTAAGTGAACCCAAACAAACAGATGAATTAGAGGAAATGACTAGCAGTTTAAGCACCATTCTTACTAGTACATTAGATATTGTTGCGCCAATTAGATTAAAAAAGGTTCGAGAGAAAATTAAAGCACCATGGTACAACAGTGCTACGCATGCTATCAAGAGAGAAACTCGCAACTTAGAGCGTAAATTGAAACAAACTAATTTAGAGGTCTTTAGAATCGCGTGGAAAGACAGTATGTCACGTTATAAAAAGACACTAAAAACAGCCAGGGCTGAGCATCTCCGCAAACTAATCGAAAATAACCAAAATAATCCAAGGTTTTTATTTAACACCGTGGCTAGACTAACAAATAAACAGACATCACCAGAGCAAAATATACCGTTACAGTTTAGTAGTAATGATTTTATGAATTACTTCAATGCGAAAATAGAAAGCATCCGAAACAAAATTATAAATGTACAATCCTCCATGGTGTCTTATGATTCAGCTTCAATTATGGACCCTCTAGAACAACTAAACCGCTTTACAACGATAGGACAGGAGGAGCTAAATAAACTTATCTAAACCAACAACATGTTTATTAGATCCAATACCCACTAAACTACTGAAAGAACTATTACCTGTAGTGGAAGAGCCTCTCCTCAATATTATTAACTCGTCTTTATCTTTAGGTCATGTCCCAAAAATATACAAGCTGGCAGTAATAAAACCGCTCATTAAGAAACCGCAATTAGATCCAAATAACTTGGCAAATTACAGACCCATTTCAAATCTTCCATTTATGTCCAAAATACTTGAAAAAGTAGTGTCCGCTCAATTATGCTCTTTTTTGCAAGAAAATGATATCTATGAAAAATTCCAGTCAGGATTCAGACCGCATCATAGTACAGAAACTGCGCTAGTTAAAATTACAAATGATTTACTTTTAGCTTCTGACCAAGGCTGTATCTCAATACTAGTCCTACTTGATCTTAGCGCTGCGTTCGACACTATAGATCAAAATACTCTTGGATCGACTACAAAACTTCACCGGTGTTCAGGGACAGGCATTGAGCTGGTTTAGATCGTACTTATCGGACCGTTCTCATTTTGTCTGTTTAAATGGGAAAAAATCAAAGATAACGTCAGTAGACTATGGAGTACCGCAAGGATCGGTTTTAGGCCCTCTGCTATTCTCAATATATATGCTGCCACTTGGTAATATTATAAGAAAACATGGAATTAATTTCCACTGTTACGCTGACGACACTCAATTATATATTTCATCACGACCAGATGAAAACACTAACTCATCTAAAATGACAGAGTGTCTCAAAGATATAAAATGCTGGATGACGCGTAATTTCCTGCTATTAAATTCAGATAAAACGGAGGTATTACTTATTGGTCCAAAAAACTACTCACAAAACCTCTTACAATACAACTTTAATATAGACGGATGTCCCGTTACTTTATCCACTACAGTAAAAGACCTGGGTGTTATACTAGACCGCAACTTGTCGTTCGAAAATCATATTTCATATGTTACAAGAACAGCCTTTTTCCACCTTAGAAACATTGCTAAGCTACGTAACATGCTATCTGTTTCTGATGCTGAAAAATTAGTTCACGCATTCATGACCTCGAGACTAGATTACTGTAATGCTTTATTAGCCGGTTGTCCTGCATCCTCAATAAACAAGCTACAGTTAGTACAAAATGCAGCTGCTAGAGTTCTTACTAGGTCAAGAAAATATGATCATATAACACCGATTTTATCATCTCTACACTGGTTACCTATTAAGTTCCGCATTAACTACAAAATACTACTACTGACCTATAAAGCCCTAAATGGTTTAGCACCTATGTACTTAACGGACCTTCTTTCGCCCTACAATCCACCGCGTTCCTTAAGATCACTAAATTCAAGGCTTCTGGTCATTCCTAGGATATCGAAGTCCAGTAAAGGAGGGAGGGCGTTCTCGCATTTAGCTCAAACTCTGGAATGGCCTTCCCGATACGGTCCGAGCCTCTGACTCGCTGACACAGTTTAAAACTAGATTAAAGACGCATCTCTTTAGTCAAGCATTCACATAATGCTTACCTTCTAGTCCTCTGTTATGCCATACGGAACCGTTTGCCACTGAAACTGCTTAACGCACCAGTGGGGCTCGACAGCCTTTTAGACAAACGGGTCGGCGCGTATGGTTGGGTTGCGGAGAGTTCAGGTTACGGAGAGTTTGTGAGTTATAACGGAAATCATTATGAACATCAGCTATGCTAATTATTTCCCATCTGCCTTTCTGCTGTTATCTCGGGACGCTTGTCTCGAGAAAAATGGCGTTCGTCAGGTCCAGTTTTGTGTCCAGCCTCTCACGGGGATTTCGGATGCCCCAACGCCTGTGATGAGACGACTCAACGCCTGTGATGAGACGACTCAACGCCTGCGATATGTTATGGCGCCGTTTGATTCATAAACAATATTTATATTTAATATTTATATTTAAACAATATGAATGTAAGCCAGAGGAGAACTGGCCCCCGACTGAGCCTGGGTTCTCCCAAGGTTTTTTCTCCATCCAATCTGATGGAGTTTGGTTCCTTGCCACTGTCGCCTTGCTTTTGGCTTGCTTTGAGCTTGCTCAGTTGGGGTTATTTAGTGTTTAGCAATGTTGTTGATCTGTGTTGTGCTACTTACATGTTATCACTGTGAAGCTGCTTTGATACAATCTGTATTGTGAAAAGCGCTATACATAGTTCCCACAGGCAAAAAAATTGTCACGTGACCTCCCCGGAGACGCCATCTTTGAGGGCAAAACCGCTGTGTTTACCATAGGCGTTTACAACGTTTTATCAGAGAATGTCGTTTTACAAACAAATATTTATGTCTGTTTATATTGTTATGCAAATCATGAAAAGACAAAGTGTAATAGATTATAAAGAGACTATTAAAACAAGACATAGAGAGGTACAATGCGAAAATTTCATTCATAAATGGTGTGTATCCTTATGCAACAAAAGAAGCACTGAGCACCGATTATGCAACTTTGCCTCAGATACAGTATTTTCATGTGTACAATTATCTGGTATTGGTGAGGAGTTTTTACACATGTGAGCAATTCCAAGCCTGGAAATCACTGGAGGTGTACGATCAGATTGACGTGGGGTTGGTTTGGTGACTCTCAAGTGCAATCAATGGAAAAGTAACTTAAGTCATCATAGCGAAGTAGCATGATGCTAATCTGTCTATTAAAAAGCCATAGCCTGCACAACTTAATTCCTATGTTCCCCAGTCACCGGTGCTTTCTGTAATATGCATGTACTTGCGGGCGTCATGGTTCGGTGCATGAATATTAAAATAAATAACTCGCGTGCAATTTAATTAATGTAATAAATGAGGAACTACATTATACGCGGGATCTTTAGGGACATAATCTGAGATTGCAATGCTGGAATGTGAGATCAAACAGTGGAAACAATGTTGTTTAGTATGTTTTTAATACCTCGTCATTTTGTTCATACAGGACATTATTCAAACTGCAACGTGTTAACTTATATTTATTTACACTCGAAATAAAACACAACATTGTGCTTTTGTCAAACAAATTCTTGCGTGTTTTGAGTGAGTTTCTTTCCTGTTTATGCTCGCCAGCCATAATCTCCGTCGTTGTTCGGACAAAAGCTTAGTCTTCTCACATCCATATGGAGTCTAATGACGGGTATTGTGTAAAATCCCGATTTAACTGAACCTCCGGCACGATTTTATCATCCATTGACTCAGCAGGAGATGACCATTTTCACTTTATAGCACAAACTCATTTCACTTCGTTCAACTCGTATTGCTTCTTCTTATGTTTTGCCCTAAGCAATGGCGCCGGGTCGGCAAATGCCCGTATGTTGTGACGTCATGTGGGAACTATGTATATAAATAAATGTGACTTGACTTGACTTGACTTGACTACTTGCACTGTCTGTTACGTGTACTAGTGGCTGTTACCAAAAAAACATCAGAGTTTCGCCTCTTGTTCGTCTATACTCTTTGGCTTAACTCAGAGTCAGTCAACTCAGAGTTGATTGAGTTTTCGTTTTCAGAACAGCTGAAATGAGTTAGTTCAGAGTTTCCCATCTCAGGGTAAGTCAACTCAGAGTTCAAGTTTTAACTCAGAGTTGCTTGAACCTCCTTATTGAAACGGGCCCCTGAAATGTGAATAAACACACGGATGACAAACTCCCTGCATTGGAGATGTGTAAAGCCTGATATAATCAGAGGAAACACAAGCTAACGGCACATTTATCACTGTACATAAACATCCTGGTGTAGAATTAAAAATATTGCTTCCCCCATTATTGTTGAATCACGGAAACTACGCCAGTTACTTTTTCAGAGATTTATTATTTATACTTGTGTCGTGTGTCAGACAGAGAGAAACACAGGCATATAAGAATAAGGCTACATGAGAGGAGGTCTTCCAGATTTCTCTATTCACCCCATCATGTTAGCTGTAAATGGTTTATCTGGGTTTCTCCTTCCTTTCCCCCATCATGCCTTTGTTTCTCTGAGGTGGTACAGTAAGATTGAGCTTATATACATCACAGAGAGACTTACAACTTCCTTGTAAGGTAGAAAAACATGTTGTATACCTAATGCTTATGTTTAAAAATGAAATTTACCCCTTGCTTTCAAGTGGTACAATCCACGATCCACATTGAGAAACTATGTCTCAATGAATATATATATATATATATATATGTGTGTATGTATATATGAAGAGTTCTAAAATGACCATTTTTATCAAGCTTGTATATTTAAATTCAGTAATTTCACTTAAATTGCTGTAATTTAAGTGAAATTACTGAGCTTAAATACACAAGCTTGATAAAAATGATCAATCTAGAAGAAAATTTCAAATGGCACTTAGAGGCTTTTGCATCTGAACTCTTCATATATATATGGTATATTTGCATCAGTTGAAACTTAGCTTTTCTTGCAAAGAGCATACCAACTCTACACATTTGAAGTATAATCATCATTGGAATATCTCTGCCAAGTCAAGTGAACATTACATTTTACTCATACCTTTAAGCAAAATATAACTCTACCTGCTCTCTGCTCAGCACACATCTACAAACATAGTCTGACTTAAAAAAACATCATGAAATTATAAAGAAAATGAATAAAGAAAAATAATAATAATAAAATTAAACAGGAAATGTTTCAGTCTTCACCGGTTAAAGAGTCCACACTAGACATGGCTGTGTCATCATTTGTCTTGACGGTGTGGCCATGGAAGGCCTGGTACGGTACGTCTACGTAGGTCTTGGAAAGGTACGTATCATTGTAGGCTCCTTATCATCCAGATGCTGAAGCTCCTCTGGGAACATTCATTTCGCTTTTAAATATGTCGTAATTTATAGCTGGATCACCTTCAGTTAAATTGAACTGTTCTGCAATACGTTTTACCTCTGCACCATCCAGTTCCTCCTTATATAATGAATGTATCCACAAATCATACAGTTTGACTTCTCTTCCTATGACCTCTTGAAGGGGAGAAAGTGTGGCAGAGGAAGTAGATGGCTGACTGGAAGCTGTAGATGTTGCCGCGCCACTAAATCCGCGTAGGTCCTGGTTAATCCAACTACCTCCTCTTGCCATCGAATGCTCTTCATTAAGAAAATTCGTTCCTCCATTAATATTTTTTTCAACCATTTCCACGGCCATAAGAATCAGAGGAAATGTCCGGAAGTTTCGAGCAGATTCAGCTATAACTGATGCAGCGAAATATGTGGTGTACGCGAGCTGCTTATCTGGGTCTAGTTTAGTTTCAGCTCCACGAAAAATTTGTGTCACATAATAAGCATATCCATATTTATTTGTAATATCACCTTGAAGATGTGTGTAACTTTCTTTGCGTACCTGTCCCCTAATCTGTTTCTTGGTTTCATTCACATCATCATTTTGGTCAAGCTTTTTTCCAACTGGATACACATACAGACTTTTAGGATCAACAAAGAATATCCAGTCTTTGACCATCAGGTATGAGGGCCAATCTTCTCCATCCTTTGCATAATGACGGATGATACTTCTGACATCTCGTGCTGTGTTAATCACATAACAGTTGGAAAGAACTTTAATTTTTTCCTGATCCTTTAGCCACTGTGTATTTTCTAATTTTATTTTGTCCCCTATTAAATAATTCCGGGGGTTGATGTTCTGGTTGTGTGTTTTTGCTTTTTGTGGAAGTGGCAGTTCTTCATGAAAGAAGGCCCAGGACAGAGCTTCAAGTTCATTAAGAGCAGTTTGGTAATTAGGATCTAATTTGTCAAATACATTCTGGTCAATAAATCTGCGTGGCTTTTCAGGCCAGCTGCTTCTGTAGAGAGGGATAGGACTACTTGTTGCTCCTTTATTACCAGACTTTTTTTCTTGTTTCTTTTCGGCGTTCATTAGAAAGTTTGTTTCATTAGTAAAAACTTCCTCCCCTCTCCTGCCAGGCTTATTTCTGATAATGACGTGTCCGTTCCTATCAAGGGTTGCCACCACCTTCTTGCTATCATCGTTGTGTCTCCATTGCACCCCTTGCTTGGAGATGTCTTGGGTGATGATGTCTCCTGTGTGTCGGACCTGGAGCACAGCCTTCCTGAGGTGCAGCTCTGTCTCGATGTTGGCGCTCTCATGGAGCTCCCTCAGCAGGGTTTCAACAAACTCTTTATCTGATCCCACCTCACAGGCCAGCACACTTGTTGTTTTGATTTTATCACCCGTCCTGAAGGTTTGTTGAATGATCCTGGCCACGTCTTGAGCCGTGTACCCCGCCAGTCTCGTCTCTCCAGAGCGGTCTCTCTCACCGTGGCCAACCAGCGTCAGTCGGCTGTCCTCTGACAGCGGCACAGAGACACCGTGGATCAGTTTGGGTCTCTGGTGTTTATCGAGAGCGTACACAGAGGTAACTGTTGGACGTTTCTCATAAAGAGAAGCAGCAGCTTTTCTGACAGTGGGGTCATCCTGCATAATGAGGATCTGCTGGTGGTCATACTGTGTGCTATGGTCAACCGGTCTTTGTGGAGTTTGGTAGAGAGAAACTGAGTCCGGTTGATTCATGATCTGGTGATTCTCCTGGTCTGTTTCTAAGACTGCTTTAAGGCCGGACACAGTTTGTCCATCTTCTGAAACAGTGTCGCTGTCTGCTTCTGGTACACACGAGACATTGAACAGGCATTCTTTGCTGACCATCACTGAGTGATGCGGATCCATGCTGTACTCCTGCTGGACTCTGTCCTCGGTTGGCTTTTCTTTGTCAGTCATGGCCAGAGGGTTTTGGCTGTAGCTGTGTGACATCTCTGAAGCACTTATCGGCCTGTCTGGGGTCTTCTGTTCATCAACATGCTGGAAAATGAAAATACATAAAACAGTTCATATAAATAAAGAGTAGGTCAAGATAGTCATTTATGAAATGCGGTATCTCACTCCATGTTTTCTGATGTTGAAATCCCAAGCCCAGCTTACATCGGGCAAAACGTGGGGTTCACCCTGGACAACATGCAAACTCCACACAGAGGCCTAGGAACGCCCAAAGTTCAAACCCACGGCCTTCTTGCTGTGAGGCGACAGTGCTAACCACCGCGCCGCACCACCGCCCCTCGCTGAAAATTCATCTATTTACTATTTAATTTCACATTAAGTTTTCACAAGTCAAATTCAAATTGTTGAAACACACACCCGGATCCTTGAGGAGGATCGATCAAGTGCAGTTTCACATGTCTATTTTTACCCTTTCTGTCACTCTTGGAAAACTGTGTGTCTAAACCATTTTACAAAGAGGACCAGAAACGCACAACCAAAGAGGACGGAACCTGTAAGTTATGTTGCTTAACTCTTTATTCGCATGTCAGCCTGTTGAACTTGATGCTGAACTATTAATACGATTGTCACAGCCAGCACAACTGGATCACCGACCACTTTAACATAATGTTGAGAGATTAATTCATTAAAGACTGAATGCATGCAAGAACTGAGATACTGATAGAAAAAGCACTTTTAACTTTTGATACTTAAGGGATAGTTCACTTTGAAATTCATTTTGTATATGTTTTATCTTACCTCAAGGGCATCCAAGATAGGTGTGTTTGTTTCCACAGTATTTTCAATTTTGATATTTTTAGATCAAAGTGTTCTTGTCTGTCAGTCATATAATGCAGGTCTATGGTCACCACCTCAAAGAGCAGCACAGAGAAGTCCAAATTAAACATGATTTAATGACTCGTAAATGTAAGTACACATTGATGGCCTAAGACATGAAACGAGCGGTTTGTGTGAGAAAATGAACAGTATTTATATCGTTTTACCTCTTGTAACCACAGCCACGTCCAAATGATCTGACGGCACGGGCGCTTCGGTCTGCGCATACGGCGGAAGTGATCTCTCGCACGTGTACGTAAGTGTTACCATTTCACTGTGAAGATCTAAACATATTTAGATATACAGGAAATCGCAATGGAAGACGATTTCGATATCAACAGACAACGTTGAATTTGTTTTGACAAAAAAAAAACAATGACTAACATAAACGCGTGAGAGATCACTTCCGGCGCATGCATAGACCGAAGCATCCCTGCCGTCAGATCAGTTGGATGTGGCTGTGGTTACACAAGGTAGAAACGATATAAATACTGTTGGTTTTCTCACACAAACCGCTCGTTTTGTGTCTTAGGCCATCAATGTGTACTTACATTTACAAGTCATTAAATCATGTTTAATCTGGACTTCTCTGTGCTGCTCTTTGAGGTGGTGACCATAGACCTGCATTATATGACTGACAGACAAGAACGCTTTGACCTAAAAATATCAAAATTGAAAATACTGCGGAAACAAAGACACCTACAGTACATCTCGGATGCCCTTGAGGGAAGATAAAACATATCAAAAATTAATTTCAAAGTGAACTATCCCTTTAAGTACATTTAAAATGGAATACTTTTATACTTTTACCTAAGTATAATGTTGAGGTCATTTTGGTCAGTATGGTATGTATTGTACTATATTAAAAGACAATTGTGCAGCGTTTAGTGCAAGCAGTGGCAGAGCTAGGATGCATGAAGTCGTGGTCAGGGTGAGCGCTCGAAGTAGCTCTACTATTGTTTTTTTCCTTCTCCTAAAGAGGAAAAGAATGACTGAGACGGAGCAAGTAAAGGTATTTCCCTCAAGTCTTAACTACGGCTCCCGCTGCTGAAGTCCTTGTCTCACCGATTTCTCCTAGAGAATTACAGCACAGGTTTGTAGCCTGATATATTATTATTATTATTACTACTACTCTTATTATTCATTAAATTATTTTTTTAGCGACATATATTTCTCCCCATAGATTTGGATTCCAGTATTGAATTCAGTTCTTCTAAACTCAGCGGCGTTTTAAATCCACCAACCGGTTCCATCTGAGTGTCACAGGATGCAAACCCCTCTTCACACTGCCAACGTTGGTCAATGTCCAGCCTGAAAGAAGATCAACATGTTTATTATAGAGGCTGCGTTCACAGAATAATTACACACATTCATTAAACCTGATAAAGACCATGTGAAAAGTTAATGACTTAAGATTGAAGTGTAGTAGGACTAAGTGTACAGTAAGTGTGTGTGTAAACGTGCTTTAATGAAGAAGACTTCAAAAGCTTTTGAATTTGAGCTTACAGTTCTTTCTTCAACCTGTCTTTCACATAAACTTAAAAAATAGATACTTTAGCTTAGTCCTCAGATAGAGGAGGGTTGCTGCTAGCTCCGTTACGGTGTTTCTGTCCCTCCCAAACTGCATTGAAATACCCCTAACCCTAACCAGTTCACTGTTACAGCCCGGGACGTGTATGCGACTCTCTCCCTCTCACTCCATCTCTCACGGTGCGCTTGATGAGTAATAGACTACCCTGCCACACATGACTCCACCGCCGCCTTCGGGGTGGACATGATCCATTAATTGGTGCACGGTCGGCACATATGTAACATGGACAATCCGAACCAAAAGGAACAACTGAGGTTGGTCTTGGACTGTTGTTAAGAGTATTGTGAGAAACTGTTTCTGAGTTTACCGTTGACCTGAAAGTTACTGTTGTGTGAATTCGTAGGTATACTGCTGTTATTTGCATATGAGGGTTATCTGCAGTGTATACATGCTGATGTTATAAGTGAAACTTTCAAAGTGTTGTTAGCCACTCTGGTGAATTAATACAAGGGTTTGAACATTTTAGGATGGTTACAGGTTGATAGGGAAACTATTCCTACACGTTTTATACTTGATTTATGAATACATATATATTTCTCAACTTTTATACTATTGCTTTTACTGTGAAGTTTTTCCATCTTCCCTGAAGTAGGGGTGTCCCATCCTCTGTCTGTAAAGTATAGTAGGTGGGGGAATAGAGTTACGTCACACACACTGACAGGCGACTGATATTCTGATTTCCAGCCATTCAGGGAAGGGTGCTTTACCCCTACTAAGCAGATGTAGGTCCCGTTCGCTATATATTTAGCAGTACATTTAAATCAAAAGTGCACAATACACTACTTTAGAATTCATTATTCAATATTGCAGGTAACAGTGCGGTTAATCACGATTACAAATTGTCTACATGTATTAATGTCAACTGTATGTTTGTCTATGTGTAGCATCTTATGACCAAAGCCAGCCTTCAATGCTTCAAATGTGCAAAGAAATGTGCTACAAGCTCTAAAACCTGGGAAGTTCTTCACGCACATTTTAAACCAGAGTTAAAGTTAACCTTTGACCTTTTGCATATAAAATGTCATCTCAAAATTCATCCTTGAGTCTAGGTGGACTTTTGTGCCAAAGGGAAATCCATGAAGGCGTTCCTGAGACATGTGTGCAGATACCTGTGGTCTGCAGGGTTCTTGAGTCTGTCGTGAAACATGTGTTCAGATAGTCCTCTGAGGCGGTGTAGGCCAGCGTGGTCGAGGATCAGCTCCTCTTTCACCTCTGAAACAAAGACATCACTTCATTTAAACGCTAAATGCCTGTCACAATCTGTCAGCATGTTTTTTCTACATGTCTGTTAGACTTTCTTTTTGTAACTGATATCTGTTATGATCTGGATGAGAATCTGTGGCCTGAACGATCTGCCGCACATCAGTCTCAGTTTACAGTTTCTCTACAGTTCAAGCAGTAAAGACACAAATGTGCATCATTGTCCAAACAATATCCCAAATACATTAATGTGCAAGGGCGTCATTTTGTGTTGAAAAGTGGTGGGGACATTTAGGGGCTTATATTACAAAACACGAGTCACAAGAACAAGACAAGAAATCTTCATAGAGGAAGTATGCTATTGGACTGGGAGTCTCTCAAAAGGGCTAGAGCATTGAACTCTTCATTTCCTGCATTCTGGAGACATTTTCTGCACCAATTTATGGTGGAAATGTCTTTATTTATATGAAGCGAAACAAATTCATGTGGCCAGTGACAAATCAGAACATATAAATATTATCAAATATAATAATAATACAGTAATTATTTTTTTTTTTTTTGGCCTAAGCTATTTTCATTTCATGTTTTCTTACTGTGCAAGTGAAACTTTCTCATATCATTTGGTAACACTGTATATTACGACCCGCAAAACAACTGCGTAAGTAAACCGAAAATACGGTGTACGTTTCTGTAATTATAGCGTACTTCCGTGTAGGTATAAGGGAACAAGCAGATGTGTAAGCAAATTATTTATAATGTAATTATTTTCAAACTAACAGGTACATATTCAGTAATATAGTCCAGGCAAATATTGCATGTCTGTTGTATATAAAAGTTATCATCACATTTCTGGCACATTCTGCAATGTAGTTACACTGTAATTTTGACATCTGTGGGTTGTAAATTAAACGTTATATATTAATCATACCCCTGGTAAATATGATAAAAAAATGGCTGTAAAAAATAAATCCGCATTGTTTATCCTTTTGATCTTTCATTTAAAAAATAGGCAAAATCTTAACCTTTCGTTTAAGTAAAAGAATTGAAAGTGGGGGGAAATCACATTATACAATAAACGTTTTTCTCCAAAACACGTTGGCCACAATTATTCATACCCTTTTATTAAACACCTTTTGCAATCTCCTTTTGCCAAGATAACTGCTCTGAGTTTTCTCCTATAATGCCTGATGAGTTTGGAGAACACCTGACCAGAGATCAGAGACCATTCCTCCATACAGACTCTCTCCAGATCTCCAGATTTTTGTGTTGATTTTGATGTTTGTTTTGGACCGTTGTCCTGATGGAAGATCCAACCACGGCCCATTATAAGATTTCTAGCATAAGCCGTCAGGTTTTGATTTTTTTATCTGTTGATATTTGACAAAATCCACAATGCCATGTATCTGAATAAGAAGTCCAGGACCTCCAGCAGAAAAATAGGCCCCCAACATTAAAGATCCAATGGTTTATTAAATTGTACACATGGGGAACTTTTTATCCTCATGTCCACCAAACCCATCTAGTGTGTTTGCTGCCAAAAAGCTCCTTTTTTAGTCTCATCTGACCACAGAACCCTGTGCCGTTTGAAGATCCAGTCGTGTCTGACCACTGAATATGCTGGAGTTTGTTTTTGGAGGAGCGAGGAGCATTTTTCTTAAAAACCTCCCAAACAACATGTGGGGATGTGGGGGTTGTTTGATAATTGTTTAGGCTTTCTGACCCCAAGACTCAACTAATCTCTGCAATTCTTCATCTGTTGTCCTTAAAGAGTCTTTGGACACTCAAACTTTCATCCTCACCGTTGTAACGGACAGAATCTGTTACTGGTATTTTACTGTTGCTGGAGCACTAGTGTGATGTTTTGGGTCACGTGTAGTTTCATCAAGAGCCACTTGAGGGTGCTATTGCCGGCTGGTAACCTATATAAACACACCTACCATAGAGGAAGAGAGTTCGTTTGGTAGAGGGAAATCCATTGTTTGGTTAACCTCATGCTACCTACTGAATTTTGTTGGTCCTTTCTAGAAATTTCATGTTCCTAGTCACCCTAGTGTGCTAAAAAAAAGGCAAATATGAATGGGAATATACTTCATAGACATTTTATTCATAAAAAATTCTAGGGGTATGAATAATTATGGCCAACATGTTTTGGAGAAAAACACCCATTTTATAATGTGATTTCTCCCCCATTTTCAATTCTTTTACTTCACAGGAAGGTTAGATTTTTGCAATTTTTTTTAAATGAAAGATCAAAAGGATAAACGATGCAGATTTATTTTTTAATCCATTTTTTATCATATTTACCAGGGGTATGATTAATTCATGAATTCTTGTGATGAATAGGACACTTTAAGCCCTTTCGTGTACTCGAGCAGGAGGTTGGTGTGTCAGTTTTACATGTTGTAAATCATTATAAAGGCCAATTTATACTTCTGCGTAGGGTGCGCGCAGTAGGTACGGCGTAGCATACGCACAGACGCGTCCCATACCGCGTACCCTTCGCCTGACGCGCACCTCTTCAAAAATGTAACTACACGTCGCGACGACGCGGACCGCAAGATCGGTGATTGGTCGGCTTGGTAGCATCGCATTTCCTCCTACGCATTTCCGCACGTAACTCACGCATTTCCACACGTACCATCTCCTCCGACATCTTCTCTCATTTCTGCCTTTCAGTTTTAGTAATTTCACTAAAGTGAACTGTTTTTCCACTTCAATAAGCTCCAACTCCAACATGATCAGCTCTCTTTCAGTCGCTATTGCTTGTAGTAACCTAGCCGCGAGGAATCTAAACACAGTGGAACATTAAAACCCTCCGCCGCCAACTAGCGTTTCGGAGCAGTACTGCAGAGCAACCAAGACCTGAACGCAGAAGTATAAATGCTCACAACGGCGTCGCCTACGTGCGTAGCCAACGCCGTACATTACGGCGTACCATCGACGCAGAAGTATAAATTGGGCTTAAGACGTAATATGAAAAATTGTTGTTTATTACACATCTGCAGATAGAGACTGACAGCATTTGCGGCAGATCAGAAATGACCGCAGCGGCGTCCGCGTGGTTGTTATGATTAGACACAGCTTCGACAGTTGAATGAATACATCACTGTCCTTAGTGTCAAATATACACAAACAAAACCTGCATCTCTCGTTGACAGACATCTTATTGTAAACATAATCCTCTGATCATTCAGACTTGTTGCTTACACATTGTGTCTTGTGTCAAGCTGTTTATTCACATTATTACCTCAGTAACCGCTGGTGTTGCCAAATCAAAGATTATAGAAACTTTAAAGATGTAGAAGAGAGCCTGAACGTGTTAAAATGTAAAATATTTCTTACCAAATAGTTCAGTGAGGCTGAGGAGGATCAGGAGGATCAGGAGACTCAGTGTCCTTCGGCTCTTCATCCGACCTGCCATCATTCTGCAAAACATTTAACACTTATTATTATCCAAGTAGTGATGCATTGACCCTTTCCCATGATTCCTTCAGCTTCACATCTGGGTTCCCTCGGCTGCTCCGTCTCAACTCCTTCCCTGACAGAGACAGAGAGCTGTACAGGAACCACGGACTGCAATGGTCTAATCGAGATGTTATAAATGCATGAATTACAACTTCTAAATCTTTGCTAAAGAAGGTTCTTCATCTTTGCATAATGATCAAGTCTTTTCTTTTAAAGTTTTTTCGGCTTTTTGTCTTTAATCAGATGCAAGTGAAGAGAGACGGGGGCGGGGAGAACAAATCCTAAAAATGAGAACAAATAACCCTTACACTAATTACTTTTACTAATTGTTAATTACAGTATGTCCATATAGAGTAGTGATATTATTTATTACCCATAATATTTCATTTCCTTAGTAGGGTATTATTTTGTAACCATCTTGTATTTTGTCCGGAAGGAACAGATCCATAAGATCCAGCTTCCGCCAAAGAGCCATCATTCCCATCATCACCAGTGATCCAGTCCCTGACACCAGAACCCAAACTAAATACCCTTAACAAGCATCTGGGGAAGTGTTTGGCCTCCAGGTTGTTACTATTAATGCTTTCATATTACATTTACGATCAATTGTGATGCTACTACCAGTTTTGCTCGATTAATATTGTAGAAACTTTATGGTAGTTGTGCTCTTTAAAAAGCCTCTGCACTGGCTAAGCCCAGAGGTGAGAGCTGTAAAACAGTTTATTGTCCTTTCAATGATGAACTCATTCAACATTGAACAAAGACACATCATTAACTATAACAAATATCCATAACTTACCTTAAATATTGCGTCCGGTGCTCAGCCAACGGGGACAGATGGGCCCTATAACGAGCAACCCGAGCGACAGCCTGAGCAGGGCTTCATCCAGGCTCTTATATATATGTAGTCTGACAGGTGAAGCCAAGTCCCCACCCCACCACTGGACAGGAGGGAGGATTTCCAACAATCATTCACATTGGTGATAAGGTAGAAGACACTATATGCATCTTCTAAAACTGCTGGTCCTGAGTTTGGTCCCTTCGACATAACAGCAGAAGCCAAAAGGACACTCACAACTTTTGTGACCGTATACTGTAAAACAGAGATAATGTTATGCTCCCAAATGTTTATTAATAGTAATAACTCACTTTATAAAGCACCTTTTATTACACAGTTGCAAAGTGTCTAACAATTTACACATTTGGTAACACTTCATTTTGATGGTCCCTTTTGAACATTCTGTTGACTATAAGTAACTTTGCTTTTACTTTACTTCAACTTACTCTCATTAGAGTATTAGTACACTGTCTGCTTAACATCTGCTAACTCTCTATTGTGATGGTCCTCCAACAGACATTATACTGACTATAAGTAACTTTGCAACTACATGTCAACTTACTCTAACCCTAACCCTACCAGTCCACTAATACTCTACTAACACTCCAGTGAGAGTGCAACGTTACTTATAGTCAACTGAGAGTGTTAAAAACTGAACTGTCCAAGGCTAGGTCAGAACACTACTCAACACTTATAAACAACGATCCAGGTAACTCCAAAAAACTGTTCTCCACAATAAATCACATCATCAAACCACAGATCTCCCCATTCTATAGTCCAACCGATATAAATTGCAACCGGTTTCTTGATTTATTCACATCAAAAATTGACAATATTTTCTCCTCATTTCCACTTCTAAATAGCACTTCACTAGACCTGCCCGCAACACCAATTGCTCCAACCCTATCAAAACTGTCACCCATAACGCAGCAGGAGGTCGAAAACATCATTCGTAAATCCAAAACATCCACTTGCCGCCTTGATCCCTTCCCATCTTCTGTGCTTAAAACTCACACTAACTCTATCAGTTCCCACATAACCAAAATAATAACCATGTCCGTAGAGGCGGGCTATGTTCCCAACTCCCTCAAAATTGCTCTCATCAAACCCCTCCTCAAAAAAGCCACCCTGGACCCCACACTGCTGTCGAATTAGACCCCTCATCTCTACACCGCCGTGATGACCCCATCTACATCTCATGTTTCATGTGGCTTGAAGGACACACAAAGTGTCTTGATTTGACCAACAGACTCTTCACACATAGATAGAGGGTTGAATAACAAGTTTATTTGGACACTTGTGGAATCTCTGTAGATCTCGGAAGGATACATATCACAGCCCATTCTCATCCCAAGACGCCTTGGGAAGCATTTTGACCATGCTTCAATATCCGACGCTTTAGTTACCCTTTAGCGTCAGTTAGATGACGCTTTCCTAGAGGTCTAACCCTAACCCTACCCCAGCGTCATCTAACTGACGCTAAAGGGTGCCTAAAGCATCGGATATTGAAGCATGGTCAAAATTGCATATCAACATGTTGTATTCATGTAAACATGCTATGTTACAGGATGTCTTCATCGCACTTGAACCTGGCTCCCAATAATTCTTGCACAGTCTGATGCCCTGTGTCTCGTTGCCTGAATGTCATTAAAGATGATTCAAATTTGAATGATTTTTAAAAAGTTCCAATTCATAAGGTGAAGGTTTTATTGAAATGTTCAAACTCTTGAATTTATTCATCAGTGTTTCAAAACCAATTAAAGAAAATGGGAACTCCACCTTTAAAAAAAATTATACAATATTGTACATAATTATTTGAAATAGTTTAATAAACTTTTGGTTTATTAAAGTTTATTAAAATGTATTACAGTTTTAACTAGAACACATCTAACAGAGGTTTGTTCTCTTTAGAGCCGTTGCATACGAGATCCTAGCACTTCATGTAAATGTGATAATGTTGTCTGGTGCCTGGGTGTCATTAAAGATAACTCCTATTCCTAATCTAAGTTATCTCATTGTACTTTACATATAGAGCAGTCCTGACTGCACTTAAGTCATACTACAGAGACCCAGCACTCACAGCAGGCACTTGGCCACGGAGGTCACTCGCAGTGCAAAGAAATACTAATGCTAGTGGTTTAATAGAAATATCAAATAATTAACCATTTTTATAATAAATAATCAAATACATAATTTTAGCAGCGGATGTCGAGAGGAGAGGGAACAGAAAGCACAAGACTACGGGAAAGGGAAGAAGTCAAGTTAGTAACGCGTTAATGGGAGAAGAATGCATACAGATGGAGAGCAGAGCTCAGTGCATCATGGGAAATCATGAACATTTATATAGTGCTTTTCACAATATAGATTGCATCAAAGCAGCTTCACAGTATCAATCAAAACATAATAACAATGGAAAAACATCCACATTTGGTAGAGCTGATCAAGGGTATCACTGATTGGTTAATTCATTTGAATATCCCCAAGTCTAAGTCTAGGTCTTGTTTGCCTGCAGGTCGAGCAGAGGTGTGGAGGACGCCACATGCACACTTAAAGGGGGCAAAAACTTTGATGCTGCTAGTTTTGATTGATTTCCTTGTCTGCTTTTGATCGTATTCAGCCTTAAACTACAGCAGAAAGTCTAGAGAGAGCATCCACATCGACCTTGGCCTCATAAGCTGGCTGATCGTTTTTCTAACAGGGAGGCCCCAGCATGTGGAAGTAAATGGTGTTTCATCAGACGTCCTCAGTTCCTCAACTTGGACACAAACATGTGTCAAAGCCAGCAAGTGGGGAGTCCCATCCTGAAGTTTGTTTAAGGTTCTGTCGATGTGTCTCTCTTCAATAGAATGGATCCGAACAATGGTAACAATAGCAATTACACATTAGAGGGACTTTATACACAAAATTCGAAATACTTTGCACTAACTTCACGCAATTAAACTACAAAACACAATTTCAACATCTATTAGGTGAAAAAAGAGATCGTATCACACTAGCAGCCGGATAAACTGACGCTCGTCACAAAAAGAGAGAGTCGACGACCAATCAGTGATGCGCGCACACACACACCAAACACGAACACACTTACACACTGAATTCTAAATTCTTCACAGAAATTTTAAATGTTCATAAACTGTTCTATTTTATTTTTACTTTTAATTTGTATAATTCATTTAATTTGGCAATATTGTATGATGTACATGCCAATAAAGCAATTTTTAATTGAGATGTGGACCGCTTTGAATCGCCTTTTAACGTTCTAGGAACCCTTTTGGGCTCTGTGAAAAATGTATATTGTTGATATCAAGAATTCATATCCTGGAAAGGAATAAAAGTTAAAACGGCTTGCCATACTGTGATAGCTATAATAAATATGCAACGTCTGCTTACACTTTCAAAAATAGCAATTAGGTACCAAAACTACTTGGTTGGGTTTAGGAAAAATCAGTCCACTTTCTGATCCACTGGTCCACCTCCTTCCTTGGACTTTAGGGTTATGTTCATACTTTTGTTTAATTTATTAACCAAACTGTCACTGTACTATAACCTGTCTGCATTTGACTGACAAAATTGGCTTTTATCATTCATGTGTAAAAAAAACTGTTGAACCATTTAAAGCTTTACATATTTATCAGAGAAATGTTTGACATGAGGTTTTGATATCTACTGTAAGGTTCTTCAAGCTGATCAGAAGCAAATCGCTTTAGGCAGCACTTGTCCGGCTGGCGGAAGGTTCATGTAAAGCACATCTATGGTGATGTCCAACTCAGTTGCCATTTCAATTCAATTAATTGGGAACAATCACATAATCAGATTGCAGCAAGTTGGTAAGTTAAAAGGGGTTGATACACCTTAGTAAATCAGTGCAGACCTCTATTATTTGAATTGACTTTAGTAATTCAAAACCGTAACAAAGACCAGCTCCTAGAACAGAGCCAGCTAGGAAAACACCCTTATTATTTGTGCTAATAATATTCACAAACAAAACATTTTTTAAAAAAACCGCATTCCTCAAACACACACGTTAACACTTCAACAATACATCACGTACCTGGCAACAGCTTACAACAACCAGGAACAAACCATCATAACTATGGAGCTAGAATTGTGTCTTTATTATATGAGAGAAATTAAATGATCTGAGGGAAAAAATGTTTGAGAGAAAAAGTTTTCATACCAATTGCAACAAAAATATTAATATTTTAGACTAAAAAAGTTGAGAGAAAGTGTTCTTCATAGAACATAAAATATATTTTTTGAATTATTTCTGAGAAAACAAAACTCTCAAAATACTTTGAAAAAAATCTCAAATATATATTTTTTGCTATCAGTGTGAAAACTTTCTCCAAAAAAAAAAGTGTTTCTCTCCAAATGCTTTTCTTTGCTCTCGAGTCAGGATTTAGCTTTCACTGTGAAAATTGTGTCATGGGCGGGGCCACGTTCCTATTGGCCAGTCGGTGAGCATCGTCTTGTCTTGGGAGTCGAATCATTATTACACCATTGTTCGGTTCACCCAGATAGATGCCACCTCTGCTTTAGTCGAGCTAGAGCTTAGATTCTCTGCCCGAGCCCGAACTTGAAGCCCGGGCTGCCAATATCTCCCGTCACTATCCTCGGGCCGGGCCTCTGATCTAGAGGCATACACTGCCAGCGCAATAGAGTGCGGCACGGGACTGTATTTGATGGCCGAGTGCGAGCGGCGCGGGCGGTAATGCGCTCACTCTGTGAGTGTGCGTGTTGCGGGAGAATAAAACGATTCGTGGTGCTCCTGCAAACTAGAAATATCTATGAATAAAACATATAAAAACGAATTTTAATTCATCTGTTACAGAAAAGCAACAAGAACAACTAAAACAAAATAGAAATGATTTACAGACCAGTTTATTTGTATAGCGTTTGCGGCGTTGAGCGATGTAGCCAATCACAGACAATGTGTTGATTTCTTGAACGCAATGGCCAATCAGAAGCATTTACGATAGACTCTCCTCACCACTCAAAACTGACTTTCTGTTCAGTGCTGAATTCTGTATGTTGGCAAATCCTCTAATTATAACAAACAAAGTGTATACATGATGAAAGATTCATTGATAATGACAGAGATGTGTGAGATCGCGATGAACTGACAGCTTTTTAGGGATATTAAAGGAGCGCACAGTCACGCAGGAGCTGCATGCTTTTATGTTATAACAATGGTTTGTGTGTTGATGCCTTAATAACAAATAATTTATCAGGAGCATTTATGCTGATGTGTATGATGGCGACACGTAGACTTGAAAGTATTTGGATGTAAATGTACAGAAAAAAAGTGTATTTGCGGGCGGGAGCGAGACAAAATATAAATGTTGCAGGTGGGAGAAGGTAACATAGAAAGTGGTTGAAAAATTCAGTTATGATAATGACTAACGTATTGAAAAAATGGTCGGGTTTAAATGGGGCTTGGGCTCATAATAGGGAATGTGGAGATGACGTCACGCCGTGTTGCATTATGGGTCTGCCGCCATATTTACAGGATCACACCCAATACCGCTGTATTTAAATGCATGTGTTTGGATTTTCTGTCGAGATTTTAATAAACATCGATACGGCTGTTCAGTTCAGCTGCCATAGCGGTCGCACGATCGTTCAGAATACGTTCACCTTTCTTTCTCGGAAAAAACAACAAGGGAAGCAGGTCGAGGAGCTGACGAGAAGACGCCGGATCACGAGGAAAAACTTTAGTGTCGTCCACTGCATACTACGTTTGTTAAAGTTGTACAAAGCAAGAGGTTGTGTATTGTATATTCATCCATTACTAACAGTTAGGAGGATAGTTGATGAATGATCATGTTAAAGCCAGGACACATTGCATGAATCAAATTATATTTATTTTGTTTTCAATTAACAATTTGCTTTGATATTCTGTACATCTTTTTACATGCCTTTTTTAAATGTTTGTGAATCATGTTTTTATATAACTGCTTAAGTGACTTCTCTGTTTCTGTACTGATTGCATCCGCAAAGACCCTTTAAGTAGCGTTACACATAAATGGGCAAAGATACATCAAACTATTTTAAAATAAACAACCAAATAGCCTCATTTTTACACCTGTCAACATTAAATGATGACAATAAGGCACAGTTGTATTTAACAAGTTACCACATCTTGTGGCATTATAAAGTAATGTACAATTTTTTTCTTGCACAACCTATGAAAACGTAACATATAGGCTGAAAAAAGCAAGTTAAGATTAACTATGAGAGCTGCTTTTCAGGTAAAATAGCTTAAACAGAGCGTTCATTATGCGTGTTGATAGCACGCCAAAAATGGAAATACGAATTGGCATGTCATACACACGCTACTTCAGATGTGTGCGTGAATTGGAGGCAATATGTAAAGTGCTTTGGTGACCATTGGCCTATTGAAAGCGCTATATAAATGCAGTCCATCTGACGAATAATTTCACTTTGGATAAAAGCGTTTGCTAAATGAATAAATGAAGCTGGATCAAGGAAAGTGAGAAGGAAGGGAAAATTAATTGACTTGATACAATACTGAACACACATGTAGAAGTTTCTTTTAAAATGCAAAGTATTGAAAATATAAATAAAGCGCTGTAAACACTAAGTGTGTCCCATCGAATGATCAAAAGTGCTACACACACACTTGCAGTCTTTACACCTACAGGACTCATTTCCTCTATTCAGCCCGTGTTCATGTAATCAATCGAGTGTAAAGACCACAGGTGTGGGTATTTAGACAGACATAAGACTTGCTCATTAAGATAAGTGACTCGGCAACTAATGCGGTTTTAGTTTAAGATTTAAAAGCATCACTTCGTTTTTACCATCATTGTTCCCAGAGTCTGAAGAGTTGCTGCAAGATTAAATATTAATGCATCACAGAAATGAAATATGCAGATTCTGGTCATCGAGGCTCAGCACTTCATTAACGTGACTAACATTAATAACCCTAACCGAGCGTCATCCTCTGGGTGTTGCTTTACCAAAAACTCACCTGTTCTTCAGGTCCATTATACTGTATGAATGAAGAAATTAAATATTAGAAACCCTTCCCAGTATAACCAGGACCAATGAAACTACAGCTACATACTACCGCTTACACCAAAAATAACAAATAACACAAATGTTAAACTTTTGTGACTTTTTATTTAGGGGTATAGCAAGTAAACTGTCCAGTCACATTTCTAAACACATGGGCAGGTGAGGAGAAAAGCAGAAGGGTTAGACACACAAAGCTGGAGACACTATAAGGCAGATCTCCGCGGTCTCTTGATAAAGCACAGCGGCAGCCATCGTGTGTTCATGACTCCTGTGAGGCCCGACACAGAGCGCTGTTCGGTTCACTCCGGACTCCAGGGTTCTTCTCCGAAGCCTAACTCGCCCGTCCGCCAGTTCTTGCCGTTGGGAAACGCCTCTAAGAGAAGTAACGTTGTGGTCTGTTCTCTGCCAAAGGGGGAGGCGGCTTCAAAGAAATTCATCATTACATATTTAAATTATCTTAAAGAGACAGTTCACAAAGTGGAAGAGAACGCAGCCGTGATCTTCATCGTCCTCTCCGTGATCCGCCTCGAGTTCCTCTGAAGGAGCCGCCCTTCACCATCTTCCTCACGCCGCTCGACTGCTCGCCGTCCTCTTCCTCGGCCGCTCTGGGCCGCTTCCTCTTCTCGCTGCTCTCCTTCATCTCCTGACAGAACAAACACAGCGTCACACACACACACACACACACTCCGCAGTAGCTGATCACATGGCAGGAGGACGTACGATGCGTGCGAACCGCTGAGCCTCGCTCACTCGCTCCACCAGCATCATCACTTCCTCTTCCTGTGTGGGGAAGGCGGGCAGTTTCTTCCCGATCAGTGTCTCGATGCGCTGGAACAGCTCCACGTCATACCTACACACACACACACACACACACACACGATTAACAGTTGCTCAGTCGCTGTGAACCCTGACCCCAATCCTTCACTGGTCCGTCAGTCCTTCAGCCAGTAATAGCTCTGTCTCCATCCAGAACTGAGAACTGAACTTCAGCACTAACGGTGATGTTTCCTCTGCTCTTTAAGAATGAGTCTCTGCGTCTCCATCCAGTGGTTTATATGCGACATCACACACACACACACACACACACACACACTGGTGTATAGAGAGAATGAAGCTAGTGACGGATCAATTCTCCTGAACGCTAACACACACTCTGAACACACACCCAATCACAGACCGACTGAAGCAGGAGGAGGAGGAGGAGTGACTGACTGTGTGACGAAGGTGATGGATTTCCCAGATCTCCCTGCTCTCGCCGTGCGGCCCACGCGGTGGATGTAATCCTGCGGAGAACACAGCTAGTGTTAGCAAACACACACGCCAACACTTCTACACACAGTTTAATCAAGTAAATAAAATATCAATGTGGAAGTTGCTGGTTTACCTTGGAGTGTGTGTGTGTGTGTGTGTGTGTGTGTGTGTGTGTGTGTGTGTGTGTGTGTGTAAATGCTGAAGTTTACCTTGGAGTGTGTGGGGATGTCAAAGTTGATGACGCAGTCGACGTGAGGGATGTCCAGCCCGCGGGACGCCACATCCGTGGCCAGCAGCACCGAGCGGGACTTGGACTTGAACTTGTTGAGTGCGCCGAGACGCTTGTTCTGAAGGTGACACACACACACACACACACGTCAGTCCATGACACACTGACACACTGCAAACCCAACACACAAGCGGTGTGAGAGTGTGTGTGTGTGTGTGTGTGTGTGTGTGTACCTGACTCATTTGACCGTGCGGTGGGAGAGTGTGTGTGTGTGTGTGTGTGTGTGTGTGTGTGTGTGTGTGTGTGTGTGTGTGTGTGTACCTGACTCATTTGACCGTGCAGTGGGATGGCCGTGATTCCCAGGTTCCGGAGCAGCAGCGCCACACGCTGGGCATTATTACAAGTGCCGCAGAAAACCATGAAGGAGTTTCCGGCCAGTTCGTTGAGGATAGAGACCAGATAACAGTCCTAACACACACACACACACACACACAAGCGTTCATGAGGGATGAAGCACATGATACACACATCTGAGGAGAGTGACAGCAGAAGAACGGAGGAGCTGAAGGAACCTTGTACTTTGATGGGATGAATATGTAGAACTGCTGCAGTTTGTCGACGGTGGCGTATTTGGTGGAAACGCTGCACTTCACGGGATCCCGTAGAGCCGCTCGCTGAAGCTTCTGCACCTGAAACCAGCGAGACCAGAGGACATCAACAGACTGAAACCAGTGAGACCAGAACACATCATCAGACTGAAACCAGCGAGACCAGAACACATCATCAGACTGAAACCAGCGAGACCAGAACACATCAACAGACTGAGACCAGCGAGACCAGAGCACGTCATCAGACTGAGACCAGCGAGACCAGAGCACGTCATCAGACTGAAACCAGCGAGACCAGAACACATCATCAGACTGAAACCAGCGAGACCAGAACACATCATCAGACTGAAACCAGCGAGACCAGAACACATCATCAGACTGAAACCAGCGAGACCAGAACACATCAACAGACTGAGACCAGCGAGACCAGAACACATCATCAGACTGAAACCAGCGAGACCAGAACACATCATCAGACTGAAACCAGCGAGACCAGAGCACATCATCAGACTGAAACCAGCGAGACCAGAACACGTCATCAGACTGAAACCAGCGAGACCAGAGCACATCATCAGACTGAAACCAGCGAGACAAGAACACGTCATCAGACTGAAACCAGCGAGACCAGAGCACATCATCAGACTGAAACCAGCGAGACCAGAACACATCATCAGACTGAAACCAGCGAGACCAGAACACATCATCAGACTGAAACCAGCGAGACCAGAACACATCATCAGACTGAAACCAGCGAGACCAGAACACATCATCAGACTGAAACCAGCGAGACCAGAACACATCATCAGACTGAAACCAGCGAGACCAGAACACATCAACAGACTGAAACCAGCGAGACCAGAACACATCATCAGACTGAAACCAGCGAGACCAGAACACATCATCAGACTGAAACCAGCGAGACCAGAACACATCAACAGACTGAAACCAGTGAGACCAGCGCACATCATCAGACTGAAACCAGCGAGACCAGAACACATCAACAGACTGAAACCAGTGTGACCAGAACACGTCATCAGACTAGGGATGGGTATCGTTAAGGTTTTATCGGTATTACTACTCTTACCGATACCGCTTATCGATCCGGTACTTTAACGGTATTCTTATCGGTTCTTTTTGGTGTTTTTTTTTTTTTTTTTTTTTTTTTAAGAATTAAGAACATAATTAAACTTTATATTTTGAAATGTAAAATAGAAAAAGCAAAACGAAGAAAAATATATTTTTGTTATGCAGCAATGTGCAGGCTTTTAATACAAAAAGGATGCATAAGAAAAAAACAAGTACAAACACAAGAATACAATTAATCAAAGATACAAATTATATACAAAGTGCTTTAATTTCAGGAAGGTGTACTAACATCTTTTCAGGTAATTGTTTCTATCTGAAAAGAAACCTAATCAAATATAAAATAACACTGTATAGTTTATCATAGATAGATTAATGCTTATTAAATCTAAAGTTACTCATTCAAAAGCTGTGAGGGATTTTCTCTGGCTTTGGTTGTTTGATTTACATTAATGGCTGAATCGTCAGCAGGTTTAGGCTATTAGACTGCTGCCCCTTTAAGACCGATTGCAGATCTAATGGGGACTGATGCACCATCATTTTCTCCCTATTATTTACGTCCATTTAAGACATAATTGTGTTTAAGTGAATCTCAGAGCTGGTCATTTTGACATTTTTATGTATATTTGATAGTTAAGGACGCACGAGCCCAAGTATAGGCAGTCCCTTTCGGAGCGCGCACCGCCTTGTAAACAGCGTCTCTTGCGCAGGTTTTTGTGTTTTTAATAGCCATTTTTTTTATCTTGCAACAGTAGAAGACAGCATTTTGCAACAATCGCTGATCGTGCTGATTCTGACGGTTACGTTTGGGTTTTAGGAAGAAGAAGAACTGACAGCGCTCCGCAGTGCCGTGAAGTAAAGCAAGTTAAGCTGGACAGATCGTCTCGTTTTTTTAACGGTTTTATCTCAAATATCTTCTTTTTATAATCTTTGGAAGCCAAAATACAAAATATATTAGAATAATATCCCAGATCTAAAGTGTAACCACGTTGAATGTTAGTTCTGTCCTCATGGTCACTCATTAAGCAGGGCTGTCGTGTTGCGCGTGCTGTGGCTTTGCGTGAGAGATCGCTCTCTCTCTTCTCTCTCTCTCTTCTGAACTGCGAATTGCAAATTTGCATCACAGACTATGGTTTAATTAAAATATAGCTTATATATAGAAATGGCTGGCGAAACATGTTCAAGATAACTTCTTTATAGGAATAATAAATAGTAGCCCAACTTATGTGTATTTACTTAATTTCTCCAGTACCGACAGCAGAACCGATAACGTCCGAGCTTATCGATACAGCGGTCTTTCAAAATTCAGTACCGGGGCCCGTTTAATACCGGGTTTCGGTACCCATCCCTACATCAGACTGAAACCAGCGAGACCAGAACACGTCATCAGACTGAGACCAGTGAGACCAGAACACATCAAACTGAAACCAGTGAGACCAGCACACATCAAACTGAAACCAGTGAGACCAGAGCACATCATCAGACTGAAACCAGCGAGCCCAGAACACATCATCAGACTGAGACCAGCGAGAGCAGAAAACATCATCAGACTGAGACCAGCGAGACAAGAACACATCATCAGACTGAAACCAGCGAGACCAGAACACATCATCAGACTGAGACCAGCGAGACAAGAACACATCATCAGACTGAAACCAGTGAGACCAGCGCACATCATCAGACTGAAACCAGCGAGACCAGAACACATCAACAGACTGAAACCAGCGAGACCAGAACACATCATCAGACTGAAACCAGCGAGACCAGAACACATCAACAGACTGAGACCAGCGAGACCAGAACACATCATCAGACTGAAACCAGCGAGACCAGAACACATCAACAGACTGAAACCAGTGAGACCAGCGCACATCATCAGACTGAAACCAGCGAGACCAGAACACATCAACAGACTGAAACCAGAACACATCAGACTGAAACCAGTGAGACCAGCGCACATCAACAGACTGAAACCAGCGAGACCAGAACACATCAACAGACTGAAACCAGAACACATCAGACTGAAACCAGTGAGACCAGCGCACATCATCAGACTGAAACCAGCGAGACCAGAACACATCAACAGACTGAAACCAGAACACATCAGACTGAAACCAGTGAGACCAGCGCACATCATCAGACTGAAACCAGCGAGACCAGAACACATCATCAGACTGAAACCAGTGAGACCAGCGCACATCATCAAACTGAAACCAGCGAGACCAGAACACATCAACAGACTGAAACCAGAACACATCAGACTGAAACCAGTGAGACCAGCGCACATCAACAGACTGAAACCAGCGAGACCAGAACACGTCACCAGACTGAAACCAGCGAGACCAGAGCACATCAGACTGAAACCAGTGAGACCAGAACACATCATCAGACTGAAACCAGCGAGACCAGAACACATCATCAGACTGAAACCAGCGAGACCAGAACACATCATCAGACTGAAACCAGCGAGACCAGAACACATCATCAGACTGAAACCAGCGAGACCAGAACACATCATCAGACTGAAACCAGCGAGACCAGAGCACATCATCAGACTGAAACCAGTGAGACCAGCGCACATCATCAGACTGAAACCAGTGAGACCAGCGCACATCAACAGACTGAAACCAGCGAGACCAGAACACATCATCAGACTGAAACCAGCGAGACCAGAACACGTCATCAGACTGAGACCAGTGAGACCAGAACACATCATCAGACTGAAACCAGTGAGACCAGCGCACATCATCAGACTGAAACCAGCGAGACCAGAACACGTCATCAGACTGAAACCAGTGAGACCAGAACACGTCATCAAACTGAGACCAGAGCACATCATCAGACTGAGACCAGTGAGACCAGAACACATCATCAGACTGAAACCAGTGAGACCAGAACACGTCATAAAACTGAGACCAGCGAGACCAGAAAACATCATCAGACTGAAACCAGCGAGACCAGAACACATCATCAGACTGAAACCAGCGAGACCAGAACACATCATCAGACTGAAACCAGTGAGACCAGCGCACATCATCAGACTGAAACCAGCGAGACCAGAACACATCATCAGACTGAAACCAGTGAGACCAGAGCACATCAACAGACTGAAACCAGTGAGACCAGAGCACATCATCAGACTGAAACCAGCGAGACCAGAACACATCAACAGACTGAAACCAGCGAGACCAGAACACATCATCAGACTGAAACCAGCGAGACCAGAACACGTCATCAAACTGAAACCAGTGAGACCAGAACACGTCATCAAACTGAGACCAGCGAGACCAGAGCACATCATCAGACTCAGACCAGTGAGACCAGAACACATCATCAGACTGAAACCAGTGAGACCAGAACACATCATCAGACTGAAACCAGCGAGACCAGAGCACATCATCAGACTGAAACCAGCGAGACCAGAGCACATCATCAGACTGAAACCAGCGAGACCAGAGCACATCACCAGACTGAAACCAGCGAGACCAGAACACGTCATCAGACTGAAACCAGCGAGACCAGAGCACATCATCAGACTGAAACCAGCGAGACCAGAACACGTCATCAGACTGAAACCAGTGAGACCAGAGCACGTTATCAGACTGAAACCAGCGAGACCAGAGCACATCATCAGACTGAAACCAGTGAGACCAGAACACATCATCAGACTGAAACCAGCGAGACCAGAGCACATCATCAGACTGAGACCAGTGAGACCAGAACACATCATCAGACTGAAACCAGCGAGACCAGAACACATCATCAGACTGAAACCAGCGAGACCAGAACACATCATCAGACTGAAACCAGCGAGACCAGAGCACATCAACAGACTGAAACCAGCGAGACCAGAACACATCATCAGACTGAGACCAGCGAGACCAGAGCACATCATCAGACTGAAACCAGCGAGACCAGAACACATCATCAGACTGAAACCAGCGAGACCAGAACACATCATCAGACTGAAACCAGCGAAACCAGAACACATCAACAGA